GCAGAAGTTTTACACTGGTGAATTGTTTTGAAAGAAAATAAAAGTCATGAGTTAGCATTTTTGCACTGTCAAGCTCCATGCTATCCTTTCTCATCTCTCTCACTCTTAACAGGGGTGGTTAGCATAATCATACTTATGGTTGATACTACATACTACTACTATGCCCTTATCTTTACAGAGGTGCCTGTATAGAAATATAAATAAACCTGAGGTCTGTGCATATAGAAGATGGCCTTAGGATTGTTTTCAGAATCAAATAGTGTGTCAAATTCAGGACTTTGTTTTTCTTAAAAGTTTTCTGCAGAATCAGTACACAGTTTTCACATACTTAATACATTTTGTCTGATTGACTCATTGAACATTAATGAATTAAGTTTCAGGAAGGAACCATATAAAGACTGTAATGATTAGTGTCACTTAAGGGAGGATTTGTGTAAAAATAGGCTAATGTTGTAGCCAAGTTTATTCAGATGTCAGTGGCAAAATGAGACATCAAATCTCTGAGCCCTGACTCACAGATGATAATTCAGAGCACCAGCTCCTTGGTGCTGTTTCAGAAATACTTCTTACCCCCTTTCTGTAATATATTTAGGCATACAGACAATTAAATTAAACACTTTCATTCTGGTTTCAATTTTGATATTTAATTTCCAAGACTGAAACCAAGCAGTTACCCATCTCTTCCAAACGTGTATCTGAAGATGCATTAACAGAAAAACATTAACTCAAGTAGCAGCAGAAAGATATGAATTCTGAAGAGAATAGTTTGCAGTTGTTCCCTTACATACAAAGGTTTTCTATGCCTCACACACTTCTGAGAGTGTCTGGCAAAATTCTGCTATGATGTGAAGTGAAATAGTTTGCACCTTTATGTCAAAGCTAAACTCATTTTTGTTTGAGGACTGACACTGTACCTTTGTATCATTAACAGCTGGGATCTTCCCACACCCTATTCCTGGATATGTGATATCATAATTCAGAAATTACTAAAGCCCCTCATTTATAAAGATAGACACTGTAAAATAAGTTTAGATAACATGCTCTCACCACTACAGCAGCCTTCTGGAATGCAGAGAACACATGATGGAGAAGTCAAGTACATGTTAAATGAGGTGTGACGAGGGAGCAGCATTACAGTGTGGTTGGCTCCTCTAGCTGTTGTTGTCCAGTGGATGGGTTGTTCATGCTGTGGCATCCCTGAAAGAAAAGTATTGGTTTGACTAACTCTGTAACTCCACTCTTGCACTTCAGAATCTGCAGCCTTGAAAGGCAGCTGGCCCACCGGGTATAAAAATACGATGCTGGGTTCAGTTTATTATTTTAATTTAAATAGACTTGGGAGATGTATTATCTGCCTGGATAGAGGCACAGGGGCTGATAAAAGCAAATGGCTTGGTTCCCTGAAAGTTCTTCTGCAGGTGGGGTAAAGTTGCCATCCTTTGATTGCCAGGAAAGAACTGAGGACTCTGTTTCCTAGACTCAGGGCAATGATCACAGTATAAAAGGATAACTGGAGGATTTGGCACAGCCCTGTTTCATGACAACTCTTCAGAAATTTTTACATGGTTCACATGGACTTTTCAGCAGCTTTATCCTTAGTCCCCAAGATGAGAAGCAGGTGGGAGTGTAGAGGAAGTGTATATGTTCTTCCCAGCCCTCAACTGGACAGAGACCAAATTCCTTACTGTAACTGGGCTACGATGCTGAGATTTGGAAGAAAGATTCTGGCAGACACAGCCAACTGGAAAGAGAGTGATCCACATGAAAGGTTCCTTCCAAAGTTGAATCAAGATGAAATGATTTTACATGTTTTTTCATTGTCCTTTCCACCTTGTAAACATTTCTAGAGCCTGTCTGTAAACCCTGCATATCCAAGTGCTAATATCCATATGTCAGTATGGGAAATGGTTTCTCCCACACCCAGAGAGCCAAGTTCATCCCATATGTAATTCCACTTGCTTTAATAGATTTGCTGGAGGAAGGATACTGGCCCACTAAGTCCACCCAAAAGCTGCAGATCCTGCTGAAAACAGCTGTCTGCCTTGTGACTAGAATGAATCACCACAGACCTCAGTTGCTCAGACCTTTGCAATAGATTCCTCCTCACTTCTGTATGCAATTCTGTCTGCAGATCTCTAAATTATCTGGACACCAGCTGCTTAAAAATCTTGAAAACCTTATTTTAAGAGATAAAGACAGCAGAGAAGTCCTTGCTCTCAGTTCCTAAACTATGTCTATTGAATGTGTATCTGTGCTGTAGTTGTATTTATCCTACTGCAAGGCATTTCTTGATGAGTTGCAATATCTAGGAAGGATTTTTATTCTTTCTGGTGCATTTCTTCATTTTCAGAAACGAGAAATGAGTATTCACCCTTCTTTGCTCAGACAGTTACATACTACTAGGATGTAGGTCAGGGAGAACTGATTCACCTAGAGGTATTAAATTGCTTCAGTGTCTGGTCAGTAAATCTTGATCCTGTGGACAGAAAAACTTGAATGCCAGCTTTACAATAAAAACAGACCAGCATGGAGTTTCAGAGAAGCTATGGGGAAAATTTTCATAGGGTCATGCGGGAGTGTTATTTAACAAATTCTCTTCTATTACAATGATTCTGTGACCCTGGTGATGCCTTCCAGTCTTATGTTGCTATAAATATCTTGCTTAAGAACTAATTCCTCTTGACAATCTGAAAGAGCTTCAGCTCACAATAGAGCATGTCACTAGTTAGTTTATCTTATGACTAACATTAGCATTTGATTTTTGTTTTCTGTTATCGTTATTCTGGACAGCAAGATACTGGTTTTAATATTACCTGATGAGACTTTTAGTTAATGAGTAAATAAACTTGCAGGTTCTTCAACAACAGATGCTCTAAACTAAAAGGTCTGACAGTAACATTCCTATTCTTTAAGCAAATGGGGCATTCTAGGATCCTAAAATATAAATATAATTACAAATATGTACAAATTCCAGTTAAAAGAATCTGCCTGGGACAGAAGTTCACCCTTACAAGAAGTATAACTTCAGAAATCACAATTAGTCTTAACTAAAAAAATAGCAGTCTTTAGAAAGAATGAAGATTAGTTATTTTAATCACATCAGAGCTTTTTAAAATTTGCTTTTTTTTGATGTAATACAACATGAGACAACATAGTTGTATGAAAATGATCTTCCAGGAACTGTGCTGAGAAAGAGATAAACAAGATAAATCAGACATTCTCTTGGATATTGAAAAATATATATACAAACCTACTGCTGTTTCCTGGGGCATCTTAGGGGGAATGCAAGGAAGGAGAGAAAGAGAAATTGAGATGAAAAGATCTATTACTAATTTTCCTGTGCTTAGATAGGGTCATGAGGAAAAGTCATTTTTGTAGCCAGCCTCTCTAATACTGCTTAAGGAGTAACACCCTTCTCCCTCTCACAGTCTGTTGCATAGTACTCTATGTGGTGTGAGATAAGGGCTTCTTCAAGATGTTCTTTGTTCTTCACAATTTACCTAATGCAACAAGGCAGGGGGTTGTCAGGATTTTACCAAGCAACAGTACAACTACGTTTTTACTCTAAATCTGCAAATACCTCCTTCTCTGCATGTTGTCACACAAATCCCTTAGCAAAAATGTCATTTCATTTCACTTTGCTTTATCTGTCTGAAAGGTATCCTAAGCACCTAAAATCCTAGTCCAAAGGTCACCTCTTCTAAGATAGACATGTAAATTTGTTCCGTAATCATTGCACCCCTACCATTGTATCTCACCTACCATACATGTGTCTCAGGATCTCCCTCCTCATCTTATTTAATCTAATTCTAGGACAAATGAGTTAAATTAGTGGACTATGGAGTAAGAGGAATAGATGTCTGACTTTTAAACAATTAAAATTAAAAAATAATGTCTATCCCAAGCTTTGTTCAGTTTTCTTCCATGTACGACTTCACACATGATTATGGGGTGGTTTAGATTCTAAATTGAAAGATCTTTTTCAGCCCAGAAAGTACAGATGACAGCGGAAGATATGGCATTTTGCATGTCTCAGCAAGGATTCCTTGCAGTCCCTTTCAGTCATTTATTCTAAATTAGAAGTAGATTTGCTCTAGTCTTACTCTATAGCCAGGGAAGAAAGGCAAGTACCTTCAGAACAATGTTTATGGATGTGCCTGGATGAAAATAAAGGAAGTCTCAAGCTGCTGCAGTGCCACCTTAGGTGCTTCAGTTACGCGATGGGATGAATCCACGTCTATCAGCTGCAATGCTGGGGCTTGTAATAAATTTGAAATCCACTTTAAATCTTGCAAGTATAATATAAGTCATATGTGCCAGTCATGTGTTTGTGTGGGGGTATGTGTACTACATGCATGTATGCGCAGTTTATGTATGCTTATACTACAACAAAGAAAAACAGCCTGGTAATGTTATATACAAAACAATGAAGTCAATTTTCAGAAAGATGTGGAAAACCTTTACATGCTGATCTCAGCTTAAATTTTTTTTTTAGAAGTGAGCTTTATCCAGTTGTACAAAGAAGAATGATACTTCCACTGCCAATCAAATGCAACATTGCATTTGTTCTGGTTGAGTATGATTATACAGTGAGACCATTTGACTCGACAGAATAGTACTAATAAAAAAGCTTAGTGGCAATAAGAAAAACTTTACTACTGACCTCTGTAGAGACTTAATGCTAAGACTCATATTGTCAGTGACATCCAGGATCAACAATGGTTGCAAGCAGGGGACACAAAATGAAGTTGTGTGGTTTTGGCAACAAAATATTCTGCGTTTAGCAAAGGCATATGTTTCAAACTCAAATTACTTCAAATTAAAGCAAAAAATGTTTTGAAGTGTCGTCATTTGATAATCATTTACTTTAAAATAAGCAATATATTTCTATCTAATGGGATCCACAGCTTTAACAAGTGAGTGAACAGTGTGACAAACAAAAAGCAACCTGCTCTGAAATGTAATTCCAAAATAAATTACATCTAGCTCTTGTTTTTTGTTGTTGTTGTGCTCTGTTTTTCTTTTTTGGCCGCCTGTAAAACTCCCACAATTTTTTCATTGCTACAATGACAAATGCTATGAGAAAAGACCTGGTCCACTGCCAGAAATCTACTCTAGACTTCAGTATATGTTTCTGCTTTCAAGAGTCAATTGTTTTCCTTTTCTCCCAGGGGTTACTAGCTACCTTATTACCAGAAAGAATGACCCCTTGACAGTGCAATTGAGATCCAGAAACTCAACAAAACTGTAACCCCTCCAGTGGCATCAGAATTCTAATCAACAGCAGAGGGTCTGGAAGACAAATGTACTTATATATAAGGCCACCATATTAGAAAGTGGCTTATCTACTTGCAAAGAAACCTATCTCTATTTGGTTTCTTCTGATATTTTTATTACCCTCTTTCTTGTAACCTTTTCATTGCTAGTGTTCTTAAGGCAGGAGGATTTTTACAGCATGGGAATTACTGTCCTCATTTTACAGAGTTTGCTGTCTATTCCTTCTCTTGCAATCTGTGTTGCAAAGCATATGACTAGAGATAAGAGCCCAAGTCATTACATATTTTTTCTCTTATTCAGCTTAATTCACTAGCAGAACAGTTGTTCCTTCAGTATCCTTATTACCACATAAGAAACACGGCTACAGAAACTCCAGCCTTGAAACAGCAGTGGAAAATGAGCTTGGAATATTAAGAATTTTACAGGGAATACACCTTGCACTTGCAAAGGCATGCACTAAAATAGCATCATACAATAATATTTCTTGAATACAGTTCTTACTAAAAGTATTCAACTCATTTCCTGGATCCCTTTGTATACCCAAGATCAGCTAAACTAAGTCAGTTCAGACAAATACATATAAAGATATTCTAGGGCATGAGACCATCTAGTTTTTATATCTGTACATGTGGAACTATGCCTCAGAGTCTTGAGATTACCAAAATCTGTGCTTCTAAATTGCCTAATTTTTTTTATTTTAAATGTTAGCAAACTTTCAGAGAATCTCAGCGTGAGTTAAAGCTTGAAAAGTTTCTTATTCTGGTAACTTTGTTACCAGAATTACTTGACATGCGGGTTAGAAGGAATTTTTTTAAGACCATCCAACCACATGGTAGGAAATAAGGTACCCATGAACCAAAGCACTGCTCCCAGATGCTCTGCCATCTGATTACCATTACACAGAAATTGGGACATACTTCAGATAATTGTACGAAAAAGATTCTCAAGATACAGAAGGATAAAAATATCTAAAAAATAACCAAAAGCAGACAGCATGGTAGAACACAAGCACACAAAACCCCACTGCCTTTAACAGAGATTTGGGTGAACGCAGGAATTTGCAGAGACAGGAGTCTTCAAACAGCATCATGGCCTGAGGTGCAAAAAATCCCAGAAACAATGTTCTTCTGAGAACACTCTGGGAAGAAGAACAAGCAAGCACGAGGTCAAAAAAGAAATGTTTTGTTACCTCTCTCAGACAAAAGTCATCACATTTTACCAACAACAAAATAAAATGTATTAGACCCTTATGTGATCCCTGGAAGGAGCAGCAGATGGCCAACCTCACACCTTCAGAACAGGAGCAGCACAAATAGCAATAATGTGATTTTTCCTGCACTGTCCTACCAACAAGATGTCACCATAATGCAGAGAAAGTGCCAAGTGTTTGCCCAACTTTCTTTGCTGAGGCACAGCAGTTCTGCTACAGACAGGTGAGAGGAAGGAGGCTGTGAAAATGGCTCTTCTGCCCCAGAAATCAGGCTGTGGTCTCTGGCAAGGGCAGCTGAAGTAATGTTTTGAATTTTACGATGATACCTTACAGTAAGCATTGTGTGACTGAGCTCTTCCCTTGTCAACAGTCACACTGTCGACAAGGCAGAGTTGTCTTCTCTGGCAAAGAGACAGGCAGAGTTGCTTCACGCCTGTGTTTTGCTCCTGCAAGTCTAATTGCAGGATTGAGGTCTTAATTAATAACCAAATTGGGAAAACTGACAAGTGCATCTTTTGGCACTAATATAAAAAATTATACAGCCTCTTACTGTCTTACATATTAGGTCACATCTCTTTAATTTCTATTCAAAAGCCCAGAAGCAAGACATGGATTCCTTATATATGTTTAAGTACCGTACATTAAAAACAACATACTGAAATAATGCTGTCAGAGACAGTATGAGACCTACCTGACTGATGGAATATTCTTCTAAAAAAGCAGCTCTAAGCTTCCCTTAAACAGAATGAAGGAAAATCTAAAGATAATAATGAATAAGAAAGTAGCTTCTTCTGCCAGACCCATCAAGTTAAATGGCTCTTTGTATTGTTCGAAATGTGTACAATATTGTGTTTTGTGGCAGAGGGTAAAGACAGAGAACTTTCAGTAACGTTTTGATGAAGAAACAATAATATTTTGACAGAGAGCTCATCTTATTAAAAAAAAAAAAAAAAGGTATTTCTCTGATTTCCCTGGCTCAAACAGAAATCCCTTAATGTGAAGAATATTGAGGTTGTTTGTAAAACCTTATAGTAATACTTAAAGAAAATGTGCCATTCGCTGCAGAACATGCAGCATGACTAAAGACTCAAAGAGCTTGGCATCATTTGAGCTTAGTTTTAAATACTTATGATAGACATTTTTGGAATATGTTTCCTGAAAGTAATATTAAGGACTTACTTCAGCATTAGCTTGTGCATGCTGATAGGTTGAACTGGGGCTCATGTACCAAATAAATACAAAAAAGATTAGCTTCTGTTTATGTACAAAGTTGGGGGTTTTATTTCTTATGCAAGTATTGGGATTTATTTGCCCTCCTGATGAAATGTTTACCTCACTCTGTCTCATCAGTATTAACCTCACAGATCAACAGATCTTCATATCGACAGAATAGAGAAGTCAATATCACCTTATTATTATTTAATAAGTATTTCATTGTCAGTAACTGAGTGAGAACAAACATCTGTGCGGTATAATGGCATGCACTTTAATTGCGCAAGGTTACTGTCTTGCATATGTTTGACAAAAGAAAGCCAACCCATAGTAAAAATCCCCCAGTAATTTCAGTGTATAAAATGACAACATGTTGAAGGACATTTAAATTGAACAAAACAGGGTTTCTTAGTCCCAGTTTTGATATACAAATGTTGGATGTGTTTTACTGAAGCTTTTGACTATGATTGATAGGAGATGCATCAATTTCAAGGTTTGTGAATTTAAGTAAATTGTTGTCAGTGGTATCACTTTTTTTTTGTATTTTTTTTTCAAACTATGTCTTTACTGAGAATAGTGTGTTACAAATTGAGGCAGGATATACATAAAGCATCAATTTACCTTGAATACCTACTTAAAATAGTTTAAAAAATAGTTGTGATAAGAATGTGAGTACATCAGAGCTGTTCAGAAAACTCCAGAGTATTTAAAAAAATTGTTTATGGGTTTTCTTCTAAGTAGTTTTTGCTACTTCTGTTTGGAAAATATTTTCTTTGCCTTTTCATTCAAAGGAAAAATATAATATTTATTTAAAAAAAAATAGTAGTAATAAATCTCAGATACTTCTTTTATCTTTGTCCTCAGAATTTAATTCCTTTAAATTATACATTGGTAAAAAAATAAACCCAAACTTGTATCAACTCCTTGCAGCTTGGAGGGAGTTTATTAACCCTTCTTTCCTGCATGGCAATGCTTTATTTGACTAAAAAACCTGAAGAGCTTTGAAAACAGACAGTGCTTAAGCATAGTACAGCAAAGCTTACTGTAGTTTCAATGCCCTCAGAAATTAGCTGTGTCTGTTTTTAAAAAATTTTCTCTAAATCACTTCTTATCTGATGACGTCTGGTTCAGGGTCTGGTGAAATGCACAGACACTTTTTAGTATTTTTTCCAGCACATGGTCATAACTTGTTTCCATGTGAAAGTATGTTGTGTCTATGTATCTACACGCCTGTCTATATGCATAAAGCAATGTAAATGCTATATGTGTGTGGTTTTGGTTTTAACATCAGATTCTATAAATGAATAAAGACACTATCTTCATTTTACTGTTCTCTAAAGGGGCAACATGGAATGAATTCTGTAAATCTAACTATACATGTTGCTGATTAAAAGCTGATGGTAACAATTAATATATGAGGGGACAGACTAGTTTTTCTTCTAAAATTTTTTTGAGGGGAAAAAATGAAAATTAGACAGGAAAGAGCATTTCCAGATGTGACTGTATAGGGCTTGATTTGAAGCACTTTTGTTATCTCCTTAATAATGCATATAAGAATGATCATGTGAAATGTTTGTTAAAACTCAGTCCTAGTAGATATTTGTGCTTATGAATTGATTTCTTATCCATATTTTATGGAGAAATAGCTCAGCACTGGATTACAGCACATTATTTTCCAAACTCCTTATTAGACTCTGCATATCTCTCTACTATGCCTCCAGGCTTAAATTAAAAACAAACTTAAGAAAAATTTAAAGAGACAACATTCAGAAACTTATTTTTTTACAAAGCTTCTGAAAGTTCATAATTATTTTTGTCCCTAATAGGCCTGCCTTTGAAATAATTTGATGGCTAGGTTTGTAAATTTGCTTGGAAAGATCTGGCATCCCATAGTCATTAAGGGGAGTATATATCACAAAAATGATTTTGCATATAAATAATGGTATACAGGATTTGGCTTAAATTGTCTGCTTTCGTTTGATTTTTTTTTTCCTCTAAGATAATTTGGAGGGAAGCAGGAAGATGAAATTGAACACAATTTGGAAATGAAACTTGGATAATTGAGCTAAGTAGGTTGAACTTTCCAGTCACCTGTGACCTCCTCCTAGTGACACATCATTTCAAACAGCTGAAATGAGAGGGCCTGCATTGAGTTGCACAACATAAATACAGCAAGTGGAGTTTCAGTCTGGAACCATATTATCCTTTGTAATCTGTTTGCTTCATCTGTTGAAGATGGAGGGACCAGAGCACTGTGCACCACTGACTTGAAAAGGTGCTTGGCGTCCAGTGTGTTCAGGGAACCTGGTGGAAGGGACCAGAGAATGGGCACTGTGGGAGGGCCACCGTGCAGTGTGGTGGGTGAACAGCACAGCACTGGACCTGTAAGAGATGAAAAAGTGAAGCTTCACAAGTAAAACAGCACAACCATGGTAAGATCTCCTTTACAGACTGCTGCAACTGAAAGTTTGCAGTCATCCCTGTGTGTGAACCTAATATTTTGCTGTTCATTTTGAAGTGATTATTCAAAACACCTTGGCAGCTGAACCCTCCCTGCTTTCAGGATAATTATTTCTAATCGTGATTGGCAATAATAGTAATTGCCATATTCAGCCAGCATCCAGTAGTGACTATTATTATTATTATTATTGTTATTGTTATTATTATTATTTGGGTTAACAATCGCCATTGACAACGTCTCCCGACCCTTTTTTCTCCCACAAATTTACAGGGAAATAAGTAGCAGTGCTCTGCAGCAGCCGTCGGGTGGGCCGCTTCCCCCTCCTTGCAGGCTCGATGAGGACGGGGACGGGGGGCTGAGCAGTGGGCGGCTCTCCTGTGGCAGGGCCAGGTTCCTGCCGGGGGGCTGGTGTAGGGCATCGGGGGCGACCCGAGCTGCCGCAGCCTTCCCCCAGCACCACCACTCGCACCTCCCCGGTGGAGCAGGAGCTGCAGCCACGGCTGTAAGGAGCCTCTTAATAAACCTCCGGGTCGATGATGCATCGCTCGCCAGTGAATCTTCGCGGGTTTATTTATTTTAACTAAATCGCCCGAATGGATCGCAGCTCTGTGTTGACTCTGGCGAGAGGCGAGGCGGGGAGCCGGGGGGCGGTGGAGCTGACAGGTCCCCCGGCTGCTGAGGCGTTTTGTGCGTGCAGTGACTCTCTGCAACTGCCCGCTGCCCTCTCCGGGAAAGGTTCCCCCCACCCCCGTGACCGCCCCCTCCCCTTCCTCCTCCGCCTCCCCCCGGCCCGGCCGCGGGCGCCCTTGTAAGGAAGAGCCGAGGGCGGGCACGGCCGGAGAGGAGCATCCCCGGCCAGGCCGCCTGGGGCGGCCGCCGCGCGAAGCTTGCGGTGACGGGGGAGGGAAAGGTGAAGGATGAGTGTTTCAAACCGGGGGAAAAGGCGGCCCGTCAGTGAGTTCCTCTGTTAGCGGTCACTAGAGAGAGGTGAGGGTCAGAGCGCTCCCCGACGGGCCCAGGGGAGCGAGAGGTTCCCGGAGGGAAATACCCCCTCTGCATCAAGGGGCAGCTGAGCAGGGAGCGGCCACCGTTCGCCTCCGCCACCTCCGTGTGCAGCGCTGATGGCAGAGCCAGCCCAGCGCTTCTCCTGGCCGCTGAACTTCACAGCGTTTCTCGTGTATATTCACGCTCACATCAGAGTCGAAGTTTGGGTCGCGGCGATGCGGGAGGTTGAGGGCCCCTAGCCCGCGGATGCGCTGGTCCCGCACGGCCAGCGCGCCCAGCTTGACGGGAGCAGTGCCCGCCCACCGAGTGTCTGAAGCCTTTGGGTGCCTTGCAGGTAAACACAGCAAACTCCCCGGCTATAAAACCAGTCTCTGTTTTTTAAAACCGCACGTAGAAGTTGCAGACCATAGCCAGCCGGAGCGGTGCCACTGGCCTTCCCCGGTGGGCGCCGTGCCTGCTTTTTGTCACCTCTCGGGCACCCCCGGAGCCGCAGCCCGATCCTTGCCGACGACAGCCCTCTCCCCAGGCGGCCGCGGGTCGGGCCGGGGGACACGGCCGCGCTGCTGCCCGGCACCACGCACCGCTGCCAGCCCCCCCTCCTGGAGCGCTGCTGCCTGACGTCAGATGTTTGCTTAGGCTTTTGTTCAGTTAAAAATAGTTTCATGCAGCAGCTTACCTGCCGTGGGTGGCGGCTGTCCGTGGGCTGTGCCAGGGAAGCGTTTTCTGGCGGAATCAATCATTTCCTTCGCCCTCGGATCTTTGATCTCTGCACGTAAATTAATTATAGTTGTATGCAGGAAACTGGCTCACAGTCTTCTAAACCCAGGGTTTTGCTGCCTGAAACACATGAAAAGGGAAAGTTTCTTTGCAGTCTAGCTGTAACAGGGCTACGTTACCAAAGCTAGACATTTTTTACAGTGACCCATTGAAGTGTATCTGCTGTCAAAAATTATCATCACTCCAGTAGTCATTCTTTTTTATTTTTTCTCTTTGTGTCTCGTTCATGGCCGTTTCGGTGTTGTACTTCCAATTGCATGTTATCCTGGTAAAATAATTGCTTTATAGCAGATTACTTGCAGCAGGCATTTATTCTTCTTCTCCTGGTTCTATGGAGTTATTAAAAAGTAATGGGTGCCAAGACAATCAAGGAATATCTCCTAATTAAAGAGGAAAAATGGAACTGTCATGATTTTCCACTGTTTGTGAGCCAATTCATGTGCTCAGATTACACACACCTTTACATCACACCCAGACGTATGTACAGTATGTCTATGGTGCATATGCACACACGTACACACACACCCCTCTGCCACAGTTAGTTCCTATTTCTTACAAAGGTTAAAGAATAAATTGAAATCAAAGACAAATGAATTGACAGGAAAATGTATCGCTTTTTTTCCGCTTTAATTTCTTCCCACATTATAATGAATCTCTGAGCCTTTAGCTAGGTGGGCAATTAACCACCCAGTGCCTGCTGCCCTATAACCATCACCCCGCTATATAGTTTATGGGGCTGAAGTTTTTTAACAACTCCGTATGCTTATTTTATTATTGTGTGCGTGTGGGATACGTAGTCTCCCGCATGTGCAGATCTATCGGATCTATATAGCGGATGTATAATTTTATAGTTTATCTTAGCCCAACTGATCCTGGGTGACAAATCTCTCCGTCGCAGACAGCACCGTCCTCATTTCAATACTATTTCGTTCTGGGAGCGCGCACGGTAATTCTTTACATCGAAATTGCTTCCCCTCTGGTTCCTATATTTTAATTTACTAAAGGACTGATTAGCTGTGTCTTTAAAAGGGCCAGGTCTGCTCTGGCTCGCAGCGTCACCTCTCACCTCTCGGCAGCCCCTGGCTGGGGTCACTGCGGGGCCGCGGCGGGGGAGCTGGCGGCTCTGCTGCGGCTCCCGATCCCGCTCCCGCCGCGCCTACCTGCGCGCCCCTCTCTGCGCCGCGCAGCGCCCCGCGCCGCTGCCGAGCTGCTCCTGGGAGCAAAGCCCCCGTCCCCCCCGTTGGAAGGGGAAGAGCAGCCCGCCTGCCTCTGCCTCTGATACACCGCTGCTGGCGTGAATCATCGCGGAAACAACGGGAAGATGCAGCACTGCTAGGCGAAAATAATTGTTTGGTTTGTTTTAATTCGCAGCAACCTGATTTATTGGCACCCTTTCCGCTGACTTCGAGGGAGGGCCGGCCGGGGTCCATCGTGCTCCTAAAAGGCTTCGTGTAAACTCCTACATTTTCAAAGAATAACTTCAAAAACCTGTGTTTGATTGTATTCAGAAGTGTGCCCAGCTCACATTGACTTGTGGATCCATTGAAGGTGTAAAGATCCGTTGATAATATGCAGGTCGAGTGTCCCTAAATCAGCAGATTATCCCTTCTCTACCAAATTCTGGAAGTAGTTTAACGAGGGGAAAAATATTTTTCATTTGTAAAAGAGAGATGATTAATTTCAAAGAGGAATGATATTTTAATAGGAGAGGCTACAATAAAAATCGCAGGTCGCTTCTGAAAAGATTTCACTCTAAACAAATGTTTCGAGTATGTCGGATCCTCATAAAATTACACTGTAGGCTTTAATCTGACGATTACTGGAAAACATGCAATTCATACAGAAATACAAGCAAGAGAGGGTGGAAATGAATTTTTCATAATCTATGAACAGTGAAAGGTGCAAGTACGTTTTTAATAGTTTTGATCTTTATCAAATGATGAATGTAGATAAAGGCAAGTACCTAATATTCAGGAAAACACATATAATTTTAGGAAGTTACCTTTCCTTGACTGTACCGGTGAATTTACAGAACTGGTGTGGTGTAACCGCTTTGTTTATTTTTCTAACGTCTACCCAGATTCCAGCAATCCGCAAAGCAGTAACAGCTTTTTCCATGTGTTTATCATCGAGGTTGCAACAGGATTCGCCTCAATTGTTCTGCCTTTCTTGTATTTTCCTTTCTTCCTTTTTCTGCATTTCGCAGATACATTCGCGCTTTTTTTGCAAAAATAAACAGAGGAGTTTTTAACAGCAATTTAAGATGGTAATGGTCACTGATCCCATTCTTTCCATCATAATCTTCAAGTGGTTTAAGATTAATGATAGGAGGTGTTTTAGCAAGGAGTGTGGGTTTTCTTCTCCAAAGACCATCGCTATGATAATTTACTTAAGATGTTGACAAGACTGTCAGTAAGACTAATTTTGTATTAAACTGCGCTCTAGCAACTGTAAGCAAGCATTTGTTGGGGTTTTTTTAAGCATTGTATTTTTGAATGCCTTACTATAAATATTGTTATTTGGTCTCTGCCTGATGGATTCGCAACTGAGATGATGCCCCTTGCCTTTGTTTCAAGAAAGGTGTCTTCTAGCATTCTGATAAATATTCTCTTTCACCCTCCACCATTCTCTTTCACGCACATTTTTAAAAAGAAAATAAATTTAAGTAACTACTGTCTTTGTCCAGCAATGTCTTCTGCACAGCATTGTTTTGGCTGGACTCTGCCTAGGCACATCCCTGAACCAAAGGGAGTAGACGTAGGTTTGGGTGCTGGGTTTGTGTGATTTGTTGTTGTTGTTGTTGTTGGGCAAAAGAGCCCTTTAAACAGTAAATATGTAACTGTATTACTTCGAGGTACGAAGAGGCTGGGGTGCCTCCTTAAGCGCGGGCGGTGTATGATGTATTGTTGGCTCCCGAGCCGAGGTTTGCCTTGGCCGACCCGCCCGGCACCTCGCGCCGCCCCGGCCGGAGCGGGTCCCCCCGCAGCAGGCCGGGCCCCCGCACCCCGCGCTCCTGACCGGCTTCCCTCGCTCCTGCCCGGAGCAGCCGGGACCAGAGCCCTTCGGCGGAGCCCGCCCGGCCAGAGGGCTCGGTGCGGGCAGGGCGGGCTGGCACGCGTAGGTGCGCGTAGGACGGCGGAGGCGGGCGCGGAACGGCCTGCTCGCTCAAAGGGAAAAGTCTGGGGTGAAAGCCTAGCAGACCGGTCGATTATACCCTTCTGTTGTGCTTTCAATAATCATGAAGCCGTGGCCTTACCTAGAAATTACCGGGGCCCTGGGACACCCGTCTGGTAGTGCTTTATTGCCTTTCTCCCCCCGCGCCCGCGGCCAGGCGCGCAGAGGGGGCGCGGGGAGCCACGTTCGGGAGTGGACCCGTGGGCACCGTCCGCGCTGCAGCCGGGCCCGGGGTGCTCAGAGTGAGCGGCGGGGCTACAGGAGCACGGGCCGCCTCCTCGCCGGGCGCTTCTCTTCGCCGTCGGCAGCTTCGCGCCCGCACAGAAGGGAAAAGGGCGGCCAGGTGAACAGTTTATATTGCGATCCCCCGGGCCGAAAGGGAGGTGCGGGGCAGGGGACACTTTCCCTGCGCCGCGCGGTCCTTTCCCGCCGGCGCGCAGGGAAGAGCGCAGGGAAGCGCGCAGGGAAGCGCGGTCCGGGGGCACCTCCGCGGAGGAGCCGCGCGCCGACAGCAGGGGGCGCTCCGACGTTGCGCCTGGGAGGCCGCGCTGCCGCGCCGCGCGCCCGCACACGGACACGCGTGTGCACGGACATGGAGAGCACACACACACACACACACACACACACTCACACACACACACGCAGGCATACACGCATATACACACACACGTGCACGCGGGTGTGTACACACAGGTGTAGACACAGACACATACACACACACAGGGGCACACGCGTGTAGGCACACAAGCGCGCGCACGCACACACGTGTACACACGCACACACGGGTGCACACGCACACACACATGCACACGCACACACACATGCACGCACACACACATGCACACATAGCGTCGCCCGCCTCCGGCCGGGTGTGCGCGTTACCGGGCGCTGGGTGCCCCGCGCGGGTGTCTCCGGGTCTCTCTCCGTGTGTGTGCGTAGTGTACATTATGCAACTTATTAAATACAACGAGGAATTGTCAACATTTTTTTCGCATGTTAGTTCCGCCGATCCGGGCAGGATTTATTTTCAGGTCTCGGGTCCCGGAGCTATAACGCGTGATTTCTTTGCCTTAAATAAAATTGGTCAAATGTTGACAACCTTTAAGCCAATCTAACACTCAAGATTACTGATGGGAAACTAATGAGAAAATATCAGATCGTCCGGCCCGGGGGCTCCTAATTAAATCTTAGCTGATTGAAAAATAAAAGCGGGTTCGGGGGAGTGGGGGAGGAGGGAAGAAGCTCCGGGCTGAACTTTAGCTCTCATTTTACGTGATATTTCCCCAGCCCATCCTTCCCTCCGCGCTTCCCCCCTCCCTCTCTCTGTAAAAAGTCTAATATTATTTCGCTGGTTATTTCGAGAGATCCGAACGCGGCTATCATTCCTTGCCCGGTAAATATTAAGGCCTTTAAGCAACGTGATTTAACTAATTAGAAAATTTACATCATTAAGTCTCAGGGAGAGAAAAAAGGAGAAACAAATCTGTCAGTCATTTTAAAAGAGACAGGCCCTATTGAAGTGTGAAGAAATCGGCTCTAATTCAAAAAGGCAATCGGGCAGAAAAAGCCCTCAACATTACCCTGCTAGTTATTAATCAGAAGGGGTTTCCCCCTCTCTCTTTCCCTGTAATGGCAAGAGCTGAAGCACATCATTAGTTTCTCCCAAAGCTACAGCACAGTTTCCATTCAGGTTTTTTTGCCACTCTTCCATGTCCCATATTAATAGCGAGTATTTGTCCATTCAAGGCTCATAGATTTGAAAATGTTTCCGAATTGGAGATCTGCAACCGCAAGAAAAAAAAAAAAAGAAGCCTCCCGAACTCCGAACTCTCCCCTCAGCCAAATATAAGGACTGCGCTGCCCCGTTCCCCGCCCCCACTAACAGGAGGACCTAAAGCAAACCTGGTCGGTGAGAACCTGGTTATGGCTTTGTTTTCATCCCCTGCCCTGCACCCTCCATTTCTAAACATAGACACAAGCCTGAGAGAAAAGCAGCCGTCGTCGTCCCCCCGCTCTTTTTTTTTTCCTCTTTTTTTTTTTTTTTTTTTTTTTTTTTCTAGGGACTAGGCACCAGGCTCAAGCAGAACAATATAAACTTGAGCGAAAATCAGAGCGATTGAGTTACTGATGCCAGGTCCTTAACGAAGTGGTGCGGGACGCTGCTGGTCGGTGCGCTGGGCGGAAGGACGAGCTGGCGGTCCCAGTTTGGGGAGCACAGCTGGGGTGGCATAACAGGGAGCTCGGGTGGTGGTGGGAGAAATGAAGCAGCTTGGTCCAAACCACAGAGAGGGTTACATCTCTCTCTCGCTTTCTGTCTCCTCTTTCAAACGCGCTCTCTAATCCTCCTCTTCCAGCTGTTCACAGTGGACTATAGTATAAATAATAAATACATCCTACTCTGCGTTTTCTCTCTCCTAATCTCGAAGAATCTGACAGTTGCTTTAATCAAAGGAGTTTACACTGGTTCTAAAGGAGTTTGCACTGGTTCTTCACGGAGCTAATTTAAGGAATTTTAAACACGTTTCGGACGAAACAAGGCAATATGGGCCTATTTCTGATCTCACGGCCCGGGGACGATTTCTCCTGTGGCTCGAGGAATTAATCCCGTGTAAATGTGGTTAGGATCAGCCCTCTGATGGGGATTTTACTTGGCAGTAGCCTGTGAAGACACAGTATTTTGGCAAGAAAAAAAAAAAAAAAAAAAAAAGCGGCTCTGCCAAAGGTATTCCGGTTTCCATTCATTTGCGTCCCAGGGCTAACTTGTAGTCACCTCTGCATGCTAACAGAGATGTAAGGTCTTCACCAGGACGCGATTAACGCTAGGTCTGCTTCAAGGGTGGGTGCTGGCCAGGCTGGCGGGCGGCTCGCTGTCCTCCCCAGGGACCCCCGGCCGCTGCCCCGCCGCGTCCTCCGCTCAGCACCCCCGGGCTCTCCGAGAGGGGGAGCGACCACGGCGAAACAAGTGCTCCTAAACTGAAGCGCTTCTCCGTTCCTCCGTAAAACCAGATGAAAACCCGCCCTTGAGCCCGGTGGGAGCGCGGTAAGGCAGAGTTCCCTGACACAACGAGAGGAGCTGATCGCAGTACGAAATGGAGAGGGGAGGGCAGAAGGAAGAGCCTGCGCCCTCCCGCCCCTTTGCATCTGTTTGTCTTGCAGTTATTCAAAATGATTGAGTTTTCTGAAGAAGGTCCTTTAGAGAGAGAACAAAACCAGCAACAATCTCTTCCTCCAAAAACAACAAGAATATCAACCTGTCCACTGGCAAGGCTTCGGAGCTTAGAGGCATTATAGTAAAATTTATGGCGTCCTTAACAACTCCCAATAAAGGCATTAAAATTCCCTTTAATTGAGAAAACATTGATTTTTAACTCTGGAAAGAACGAATCCGTAATTTAATTGCAAGCTTTCACCGACAGAGCAGCATCTCAGGGAGGCCACATTCCATCTTTAATAGAGCCACTTTATGAAGTGATAAAAACAAAGAAAACCTGACAGAGACAGTTACAATTGCGCAAGAAAAGTTATCTGCTTTCCCTTTCCCTCTTCGCAGCTCCTAACTATCGTGCTCTTCCCTCCCCCTTCGTCCCCCAGTCACAAAACACAAGTGTAAAAGCAAAGCGTTTGGGGTCCAAGGGAGAAACAATAGTCAATATTTCAAATAACGATTTGCGTTTACTAGGCAAGGAATGATGCCAAGAGGTTTAAGGGAACATTTTCAAAAAATGGTAGCCTTTTCTGCAAAGGAAACTAATCGGATAAAACTTCCTTACTTTTCCTTGTTGGTTACAAAAAATCATTGCTAAAGGGAAGGAAAGGGAAATCCCACCCTCCCTTTCTATCTTATTTCAGTATCGGTTTTTGGTATTACAGAAGAGTAAAGAAGTTTTTGTTTGGTGGTTTTTCATTGATCAGTCACTCTGAGCTAATGTAATTATCCTCATCAATAGAAGGCTGCAGAGAGAATCATT